CTTCCTCCTGAAGTCTATCACCAACTCCTTAGTCTTTCAATTGCAGGTGGTTCTCCTCACACCACTCCACAAAGCTGCTGACCAGTCCTCTGTACTCTTCCTCCAGCCCACCCTTGATACATCCCACAATTGCAGAGTCATCTGAGAACTTCTGCAGGTGGCATGACTTTGAGTTGTATTTAAAGTCTGAGGTATAGAGGGTGAAGAGGAACGGAGAAAAAACGGTCCCCTGAGGAGCCCCTGTGTTACTTACTACCTGTTAAGTCTCACAGACTGTGGTCTGCCTGTCAGGTAGTCAGTGATCCACAAGGTCATGGAGGCATCGACTTGCATCTCCTCCAGCTTCCTCCTTAGAAGTAAGGGCTGGATGGTATTGAAGGCACTGGAGAAGTAGAAAAACATAATCCTTATGGTGTTGCCAGCATTGTCCAGGTGTGAGTAGGCCCTTTGCAGCATGTAGATGATTGCACCCTCCACACCAACACTGGGCTTGTAGGCAACTGTAGAGTGTCCAGTGATGTGCTAACCAGGGGTCTCAGGTGGGATAAGACCAGCCTCTCCAGTGTCTTCATGACCTGAGAAGTCAGTGCAACTGGTCTGTAGTCTTTGAGGAGAGAGGGGTGCCCTTTCTTTGGTACCGGGACGAGGCATGATGTCTTTTAGAGCACAGGGACTTTCTCAAAGCGCAGGCTCAGGTTGAACAGTCGTTGGAGCACTCCACTCAGCTGATCAGTACAAGCCCTCAGAACTCTGGGACAGATGTCGTCTGGTCCTGTGGCCTTACCCTGGTGCAGCTTCTTCAGCTCCCTCTTCACCTGGTCAGCCATGATGGTCAGCCTGGCCTGGGGGACGGTGCTCATAGCGCTTTCAGTGCTGCAGGTGTTGATGGCGGAGGTGTTGGAGAGTGGCAGTTGTAGGGGATGGGGGGTGAGTAGCTCTCGGGGGTTGTAGCTGTAGGCGGCCATGAATGTGGAGGAGGTGTTGGGGAGTCACAGCTGTGAAGGGTTAGGGAGCGTGTAGTTGTGGGGGGATGGGTGTCGACCCACAGAGGACCCTAAATCAAACCTGTTAAAAAACGGGTTCAACTCGTTGGCCATCTCCAGGTTCCCCTCCATTGCACCCCCAGCCTGTCTGAAGCCAGTGATCTACAGTAGGTACTGAATGAGGATGAGGATTTTGAAGTTGACTCGAAACCTGATAGGAAGCCAGTGCAAGGACTTGAAGACAGGTGTAATGCATTCCTGTTAGGATTCTTGCTGTCATATTCTGAACATATTAAAGATTGCTCAGTGTGGATTTAATTTCCCCAGTGAACAGGATGTGCATTTATCAATTCTAGTAAAATAAACCTTTCTTGATTTCTCTAGTTCCTAGTTTCTCTAGTTCCCTTTAAAATAAACTATTATTCCACAATGCAGAGTATTACATGGCCAGCATTTACATATGATATTTGTGATTTAAAAAAAAAATTAACACAAGCAATTTTTGGGGATTTAAGTGTTGGCTGAGGTATTGCAAGATAAAAGACTAGAGATGTTGGTAAGAAAAAGATAATTTTGGGAAAGTTGAGGAATACACTGATAACAAGAACACTTCCTAATGGGGTTAGGCATACTTTTGATGAAGATGATGAAATTAACAGACTGTATGTTTACATAGATACTGAAATGAGGATTGTATTTTAGATTTTGTGTAGTT